TTTTTTTTATGGATAGGGGTGTTTTTAAACCTTAAAAAATAATCCAATATTTTAATACTTGAGAAACCTTTTTACTACTTATTTTAAAATTATCCCTAACACAGGTAAAGTTTGACACCTAGGGTATTCCACTGTGTATCCATTCAGGTAGACTGCTAGCTCCAAGGTATTCACACCTGTATAAAATTAGCCCCTCCCACACCTGGAATAACCTGGAATAAAAATACTACCTGGTAAAAATTCTCTGTCTTTAAATGACCATATCTTTTTTTTCAATGATATTTAGCCAATTTGGAATAAATTTCTTGTATTTAGTAATTCTAACTTTATCAAAGTATATGTTTATATATATATTTTTGAAATATTTAAGGAAATGAGAGACTGTTTTCTACTCAAGGCTATAAGTTTTAAAAATTTAAATAAATTATTGAAAAATGGAGGAGCTTTATAGCTGCCTTATAGACATAATTAATATTCAAAAATAAATATTAGATTTTATATAGTCAGTCCGTACCTGTTTCATTGTATGAATTTATTAGAGTCCTTGATCATGCTGACCGGTGAAACCTTGAGGGCTATAGGTCTTTTCTTTCATTTTATTTCATGTAAATTTGATTGGTGTGGTATTTTTATTCCATAACACCTTCCAAACGCTACCATGATTAAAAATTCATTTACCATGTTTACACAGTAAAAAAAAAGTCCTTACAGTACACATTAGACCCTAATAATCTACACAATGAAGTGATGCAGAAGACCACATGAAAGTGACATTTCAGTTGTATTCATTGTTGTGGCTAAGTTGTTGTTAAATATATAAGAAATTAATTAAACCATTAAAATTCAATTGTTTGTAGTTTGTATGTAGTCATCTGTCCATCTGTTAGTTGAATTGTTAAATCATGATCCCAAGGGGTATTGTGGGGCCACAATATCAGTGAAAACAGAGGGGAAAAGGTTAAGAAATGTTTTTCCTAAGTGGTAGATTGGGGCCAAACTTTTCAAACTTTCCAAACTGAGTTCCTACCCAAAGTGCTCCAGTGAGCAATGTGGTCCATGGACCTTTTCCTTTTTTTTTTTTTTTTTTTTTTTTTTTTACATTGCTTTAAAAGTTAATAAATATACATGGGGTATATATCAAAATATTACCAGAATTTTAAAATCTGTACTTTGTCATGATTATTGTAATGATCATTCAAACATATAATCAGGTAATAATTGATCCTATTTGCATGTTATATGCAATATAACACTTTTATAGCTTTTTTCAAATGAATTAATAAATTTAAATCATAAAAAAAGAGATGAAAGAAGACGAACTGGTTTTTTTAAATCACTTTAAAGAAAGCATTTTTCTGGTTTAGGATTGAGAAGCTACTACATTTACAGATTATTTAGAATGGGATATAATGGGATTTATTCCCAAATCAGGGCCAGTGGGCATAAACATCTATAAGTATAATATACTTAACTTTTGTCAGTATAGCTGAAAAACAAATTCCGGATAAATTTAACAGTTTATTCTTTGAATTTTACGCTATTTGTCAGAGTCACCCATATGTTTCTTAGAGTAAGACTTATACATACGGAAAGAAAAAGATGTGGGTGACAATGGTGCCAAAATGAGGAATTATCAAGGAAAGAGAGAAGTATCACAAGTTATGATTTGATCTGGTCTCTTTCAATCAATTTCGAAAACATTCTTTGAAAAGTAGAGAAGTTTTTGTCTTTGTTTGAATCAAGTCCATTATGCTACAAACAGCAGAGCTTAAACTAAACTACATGTAAGTAGAACAACTATCATAACTATGTGATTCACGATCAACTCACAACAGTGTTCAATAACAGGTCACAGGACTGAGGAGTCGGCAGTTTTATCAGTAAAATAGTGAAAACAATAACCTGTGAGCTACGCTAGCGTAAACAAAGTCACGTTATTTCTTACATTGTTTTTCTGATAAAATTGCCTGTACCGCCTCCAATGTCTTTTTTTATATTCATTTCTTTCCCCCACTTGGAATATTAGATTAACTTTCAAACTTTTAATCCGTATTTGTTTACTTTTTCACTTACGGGTCAGTCCAAAAAAAAAAAATTAATTCCCTTCTTATCATGCTTATGCCATGTCTAATTTACATATGCAGTGATAAAATGTATTATACTATATCAATGAATTTGAAAAAAAAATTAATTAATTAAATTGTTACAAAGTTGATAAAAAATGTACATGTATTGTACTTAATCTATGTTGCAACTCCAAACAATATTTATTTTATAATTCTTACTTAATAATTACAAGCATTAAGAGAAATAATGTGGGTTTTTTTACCCCACATAAAAAATATGGGATAATAAACCCCACATTTTATTTTTAGTGAGACGTGGGTTAAAAAACCCGACGAAAAATAATATGGGTTATTTAACCCCATGGGGTGAAAAATAAATCCCATGGGGTTTTTGTGGGGTTTTTTGTGGGGTATTTTTAAGTTCATGTTTCCCCATGGGATTTTTTTTTTTGAACTCAAATATCTCAAAAAGTAGCAGAAAATGTTGATTTTTTTTTCATTAATCAATTTGATTATAAAAACCCCACCATTTAAAAAAACCCTAAGATGATAGCTTTAAAGGAAAAGGGTGCGCAAGTTCGGAAAAATGTCCATTCCGAAGTTGTCCGTCCCACTGTTCAATGTTAATTTTTACTTCACAGGATGCCAGAATACCGTTACTTCTGAAATTGGATCCAATACCTGCATTTCATTTTCGAAGCCTTCCATGAGCTACGAAGAAAGAGTAATAATGAGAGAAGAATCACTGCTCTGCTTGAGATCAAGTAATAATCAGAATATATTAAAAGATGACAAAGGGTGGAATAGAACCTTTTCTTGCCACGAGAGCAGTGTAAAAATATCCATTTGTTTTACAAACACCCAGACATCTGATGCCGGTGTATTTTATCTAAGAAATGAAAACAGGAGTGTTACTTTGGAAAATATCACTCTTGTTGTTGAATGTAAGTACACACACACACACACTCTCTCTCTTTCTCTCTCTCAGAATACATCCATTGCAAAGAATAACAAACTATCAGTAAACAGTGATGCTAAAATTTACGAAAAAAGGAAGCAGCAAAGAAGCTTATTAATTTAATAGAAAACTTTCCTCATAATATCTTTACTTATAAATTAATAATTTTTGCAAAAAAAAAAAAAAATTACTTTCATTTTGGGTTAACTGCCTCGAAATAGCAAAAACGATAGTGTGGTGGTGGTTCGGTTTGCGGATCAAAGTTACAGACATTTTCAAATGAAACTGACAACAAGCAAGCGTTAATAATTTCTTAAAACATTTTTAAAGAATTATTCATTCAAATCTTTATTTAAGTGAAATAAAAGTCATACATTGTGGCTACTGATTAATAAAACAAAATGAGCAAAACCTTTCCGTTTATGTCTGATCTCACTCTTGATTGAAAGTTCCAGAACGTCAGATGGCATTGAACCCGATTTTAAAAAGAAAATCGAACTGTGGGCATAAAGTTAATGGTAAAGCAATTTGTAAGTCAGAAAGTACATGTAAGTTGTGCTAATAAAGAAGATGGGCGTATTTGGTGTGTGATCTGCAGGGATCATTGGTACGAACCATTTATAGTTTAAGGAGGCTGGGGGGGGGGGTGTCAACAAATTAACCACCAGATTTAACTTTTTTTTCAGATATGATATCTTAAGCTGTCAACTATCATTTGACAAAGAAAAATTTCATACATTTTAGTTTTAAAATTAGAACATATTTGTATATTTTTATATCGAGCTCTTCTTCTAAAAGAGGTCAAAATAGTCTGAAAATGGCCACAACCCCCAGCCCCTTTAAATGTCCATGATTTAGTTGGCCGACCATGATAGCTGGTCAGATTTTACAAGCACAGCCATAGGATTTTTTCTTTCATTTAGTCTGAAATACCTTGTGTATTGAAACATTTTTGCCGTTTTTCTTAGGAAATAAAACTGCTTAACAAAAAAAAGTAATTAATATATGAAGATAAAAGGCATATGATAAGTGTACATGCACAAAAACGTTAAGTCAAACAGAATATTAGAATTGATTTCGCTCTCGGTGCAACTGAACCAAAATGTATCTAATTCAACATTTTAATAAATCAGTACATAAAATGAAACCGACAAAAGAACTGAATGTTTGCATTAAAAAATATAACGCCCCGTGCGAGGCTCGAACTAGACTTTTCATTTCTAGTGCACTGAACAGGTAATCCTTATAACTGAGCTATCACCGCTACAGAAGCACCGTATTTACAGAATTGAATTTTTTGGAAAAAAGTTCATTTTTTGGTCTCTGGGTCTTGTCTCCATTTTCTACAAATGTATGTTGGTTTTTTTTTTAATTAAAATGCACACAAATAAGGTTTCAAAATCATGGAGAGAAGACCCATAGATAAATTTTTTTTTAGAAAAACGTGTTTTAAAATGTACCGTTTTGTACTAAATGTCTGATCTAGCCAAGTTCGAAGTTATTTTTAAGCAAAGCAAAACTCACAATCGGGAAATTATTTTCTTTTCCCAGTTCAAAGGGACCTGATAAATTTTTTTTTAAAAAGTTAAAATTTCATGTGACATATCGATAAAAATTTTTACTTTTCAAGTACGCCCAGATTCCTGTCGAATGCCAATCAAAAGCGCCCTCGTTCTTTTACAAAGGAAATGTGCATATTTACCATATTTAACGTCCTTACATGTGCCAATATTTTTAGTTTGAGGAAAAAATAGGAACTTGATTATTCCAACGAGTTGAAATAGTGCTCTTTATATATTCAAATACATGAATTCTTAAAACCTTCGTGAACAACGAAAATTTAAGAAGTTCAACTACAGCAAAGTCAAAAATATAAATATATGCGTAAAAAGAAACTAGACTTCATATATTTAAACTTAACAAAAAGCATTATATTATAATATCAACGTTAATTTTAGATCCCCCAAATGTGTCCACAATGGAAGAACAGAAGGTAATTGAGGGTGACTATTTTTCCGTCTCGTGTAACTTCACCGAGGGAAACCCACCATCTACAACAGTGTACTGGACCAAGGACGATCCATACTTCAGACAATCTCAACAATATCTCACTATAACAAATGTTTCAAGAAGTGATTCGGGGACATATGTGTGTTTTGCAGAGAACACTTACAGTAGCGGAAGGAAAGGAACTTCCAATAATACAATGGAGCTAGATGTGCAGTGTATGTTAAACAATAGGTTTCAATACAGGATTTTTTTGCGGGGGGGGGGGGGGGTACAGTTTAGGACAATGCACAAATGTGTGATGTTTGATAAATACAATTTAATGTATCTCCATATATATCATCTATTTACTCGACTAAATCGTTCATGAAAGTTTTCAAAGTTTCATTAAAGTATTCCGTTTGTTTTAATATAGGTATATATTATTTTGATTTTTTCTCGAAAAAAACGAACGACTACAATGGCATGTAAGGTTTTGCACAATTCTCTCGTCCGACTCTCTCATATATGGCATGTGTTGTTCTCAAATTTCTAAGTAAAGGTAGACCAAGGTAAATTAATATTCGATGGAATAAAATTATAAAACCAGAAAAAAATGTATTTTTACAGACCCTCCCAGAATATCTCTACCTTCTACTTTAAAACCAGTGGAGGGGGAATACCTTACTGTTGTTTGTAACGTCACTGAAGGGAATCCCAGACCAGTCACAAAGATATCCTGGTACAAATCAGGTCACGGATTCTTCAAAAATGGGAAAATATTGAGCTTTCCAAACATAACGAGATCACATTCTGGAACATACACATGCACTGCTGAAAACACTTATTTCAGTGGAGCAAGAGGGAGTGATAAACAGTCCATCACGATTGATGTAGAATGTAAGTTCTATTTTATTATTTATTAAAAAATTATCTGAATTGTATTAACTTTTTGGGGTTTTTCAAAATATTTTACAGATCCTCCAAGAGTTTCACTATTTTCTACTAAGTATCCCGTGGAATATAGCAGCCTTTACGTTACCTGTTCGGCAACTAATGGAAACCCATCGACCACACTCTTTTACTGGAAAAAATCGGGGGACAGTGATTTTCAGCTGAATGATGCTAATTTACGTCTGTACAGTATAAACAGGAATCAGTCTGGAACTTATATATGTACTGCAGAGAATACTTACTCGTCTGGATCAAAAGGCAGCGACTCTCAGCAACTTGTGGTGGATGTTCAGTGTGAGTAATGATGTTTTTAAAAAAAACTGACACGTGTCATCTTGATATACTGCGCCAGTCTTTTATTGTCAAGAATTTTTTTTTTACCTCACCTGAGCTGAAAGCTCAAGTGAGCTTTTCTGATCACCCATTGTCCGTGGTCCGTCCATTCGTCTGTAAACTTTTCACATTTTCAACTTCTTCTCATGAAACACTGGGCCAAACTTGGTACAAAACATCCTCGGGTGATGAGAATTTTAAATTGTTTAAATAAAGGGTAAAGTCTAGGGCTGCCACGGTTCAGACATTTCTCGGTTCGGTTCGGTTCAGAAAATAAATTCTCGGTTTTCGGTTTTTTCGGTTCGGTTTTCATTTTGAGAATTTAAATAAAACAACTTTATATATATCAAAGGATAATAAGGATTAAGGTCATTGTTGAAAGTACTATTTTGCTGACACAAATATCTATCCATTTTATTCAACAGAACAAGTTGTTAAATGTAACAAAAAATAACAAAGTAATAAACTTCTTGTTTAAAATAAAATAAATATAGTTATTGACTAGAGTTATCTTGTTTCAAACATTTGAAACATTCAAAACGTGAAGTATTCCCACACTTGTGATTTGTTTTTCCTTCCACATGTGTATGCCATGTTTAAATGTCTTCGATGTTACCTGTATTTTCATTGGTTAAAGAACCCTTCATTGAAATAAACAACCAATCACAACGCGTGTTGCAAGAAAATTAGTATTATATAAAAGATAAAAAAAACCGAACCGAATTCCGGAAAACCTGACTCAAACCGAACCGAATGCCATTTCGGAGCGGTTAACCGAGTTTTCGGTTAACCGTGACAGCCCTAGTAAAGTCCCCTTACAAGAGGAGATAAGCAGGAAAAGAAAAAAATAGGGTGGGGTCATTAAAAAATCTTCTCAAGAACCACTGGACCAGAAAAACTGAAAATTATGTGGAAGAATCCTGGGAAAGTGTAGAAATCTAAATTGTTAAAATCATAACCCCCGGGGGGTAGTGCGGGGCCACAATAGGGAATCCAAGTTTTACATTGAAATTTATAGGAAAAGTCTTTAAATGTCATTTCCAGAAACAATGGGCCAGAAAAAGTTAAAAGTTATTTGGAAGCATCCTGGGTTAGTGTAGAATCTAAATTGTTAAAACCATGGCCCCGGGGGCAGGGCGCAACAGGGAATCCAAGTTTTACATTGAAATATGTAGGAAAAATCTTTAAAGGCAGAGATTTTAAGCACCGCCTTGGCGCCTTCAAAAATACCTGGTCTGGGTAGCCCTGTCAATCAAGTACGTGAAGGTCCATCATTGGATGCTGGAACTTGATTGACATTTACTTACTGGTCCCTGTGTATACCCTGTACACCTTGTTTGGGACTCGTGGGGACCTTCAAATTAATTCATGATCATTTGATGTTTACTGAACATGGTACATGTATAGAGAAACTGTATTACTATGAAAATATTTATCTTTATAATACGTGTATAAGAATTATAAAATAAAGTAGTATAAAATATACCTTTAGTATTTGAAAGGATTATAATAATATAATATGTATTTTTTTTTAATTCACCTTTGGTACATAAAACTTCTGATATTAATTTTAGATGGGATCCTGGGGATGAATGAATTAAGACTAATTTGGATGTTACAGAAGTTGTTTTTTTTTTAATTAAAACACAAACACTAACATTTAAAACGATCGTTGTTTTTGAATTTATGGTATGATATCAAAATAATTTCTTTTATGGGAAGGGATGTTTTCAAACAGTAAAAAATAAATCAATATATAATTGATAAACCTTTTTATTACTAATTTTAAAATTGTCGCAAATCCCCAACACAGGTAAAGTTTGGCATCTGGGTATTTCACTGTGTATTAAATCACTTCCTGTGTATAAAGATTAGGAGACAGATGGCCACAGGTAGACTGCTAGCCCCCCAGGCATTCACACCTGTACAAAATAAGCTCCTCCCTCACCTGGAATTTACCACCCGGTAAAACATCTCTGCCTTTAAAATCTTTTTCTCAAGAACCATGGGGCCAGAAAAGCTGAAACTTTTGTGGAAGCATCCTTGGGTATTATAGATTGTTAATAATTAAAATCATGAGCTGGAGTGGGGGTGGGGGTTTAGGGCGGGGCCATAATTGGTATTACAAGGGGGAAATCTGGCAAAGAAAGGCATCCCAAAATTACTCAGGTTAGCCCATGGGCCTCTTGTTTATTTCCCATTTCTAATGCATAAAAAAAAAATCAGAATTTTTGCGGGGTTTTTTTCTTTCAAAGTGGTATCTTCTGAAATAAAACTGATCAAAGTTATTGATTCAATCATGTTATTTGCTTGAAGAACTAAAAGCCATTCGATTTTATTCGATTACACGTCATTTAGATCCTCCTTTGGTATCCGATATCTCTGACATAAGACGAGTGGAACATGACAACGTTACAGTGCAGTGCAACGTCACTAAAGGAAATCCATCTTCAACAAATATCTTCTGGACCAAATCAGGAAGTTCCAGCGTCCAACAGTCCGGTTCTACACTTGTGTTGAATAGCATTAGGAGAAGTCAAAAAGGAAGCTATTACTGTGTCGCAGAAAATTCGTATAATATTGGACGAAATGGCAGAGGAGAAAAATCATTCTTTGTGGATGTTTTGTGTACGTATAATTTATTTATCCTTCTTAACCTTGAATATCACTCTTTTCATAAGAAAATTTCATTCGATTGCCGAAATTACCTTGCTATTTGATTTTTTCAGGTGTAAAAAAAAAGTATGCAGCAAAATATGAAATAAACTTATGAAAAATCAATGCATTTATATATGTATATGATTTTAAAGATTTTCTTTAAATATAAAAATTAAACCTTGTTTTACTTCAAAAAATATTAGTTTTGCTGAAACTATTGATTATGAACACTGAATTTTCCATATAAGAGAAGTATATCCTTAATCTAAAAAAATGAAAAGTGGTCCAAGCTGGCAGTTTTAAGGTTTTCTCTTCAATCACTGAATAATCAAAATTTCTATAAATCATCTACATTTGCACTGAAGACAATATTTATTCTCTATAGATGGACCTACTCTTACTGGAGGGACAGTGACGGTCTCTGAGGGACAACAGGCCAGCATGACCGCCACGGTGACCAGTAACCCGCCCTCTAGAGTGTCATGGTTCAGGGGCAGTGATCTACTTTATACCCAGGGGTCCGCCAGTGGGGTTTCAACTTACACCATATCCTCGGCTCAGTGTACTGATACGGTGCAATTCAGGGTAGTTGCTAGCAACGGGATCCAAAATAACGCCTCAACAACCGTATACCTCTACGTCTACTGTACGTACTAATAGTGCTTTTAATGAAATTGAGACCAATCTAGTGATTTATACAAGTTTCAGTGATAGATAATGTTCAAAATCTTCTGCTTGCTTGCTATATATCCCGAATCCTGATAAATACATTGGTCAAGATATTCAAGAACTTAACATCTGTGTAAGTATATAATGTGCATACACGAAAAACGAGCTAATTCAGAGAATGTATGTACCCGGTCGCTTAGGAAAAAAGAAGAGAATGCGCGGATCTAGTCTTTTTCCTAAGCGGGGGACACGAATTCTCTAAATTAGCTTGTTTTTTAATTGTAGGTTCACCGCGTTTAAATTCCTCTGGAAGTTCGGTTTTCATTTCAATAGGAAACAACAAATACATGGACGGCCAGGTCACCATCTTATCGTATCCACAGCCCAACTACACACTGACCCTCCCAAATGGTGCTCCGAATACGAACATCAGTCTCAGTATATCCACCATTACAACGAACATCTACCGCATCAAACTGCGCAAGTCAAATATTCAGCCAAAGGATCATGGGACATATAAAATGATCGTTTCAAACGCATACGGAACAAGAATACTAGATATTAATGTTCACCCTGAAAGTAAATTAATATTTACATTAAGTAAGGTTTAAAAAAAAAACTGAAGAAACGCATCATAAATCAATTTAAGAGATGTTTTGAAAGAACATGGTCACTTTCAAACTATAGTGTATGTCAAACTCCATAACTAATCTTGTTTTTTAGGCAAACCTTTAAAAACAGATCAAGTATTTGTTTCTTGTGGAAACAGAAAAGCTTACATTACTTGGCAGTCCTCTTACTTTGGTTACGAGGCTCAAAATTCACTTGTTCAATACTCGACAAAACCTGACAGTGTAGCCTTTTTCAACGGCTCAGGCCTCACACCTGAAAGAATTGAACAAGAACTCTTACATGTCACAGTTTCCGGTCTACAAGACAATACAAAGTACTTCTTTAGAGTGGCCTCCATTAATAGATATGGCGTCTCTCTGTCATCGGTTGTCGACTGCACCACGGAAACTAAAAATGGTTATCATCATCCAGTTCTTTAAATTAATACTTGCACATGAAAAAGAGTAAATTTTCGATTAATAATTTAAAAAAAATCACTTTATTCAGTTGTTAAATTGTAGCATTTTACCTCTAAACATAAATACGAATTACTTTTTGTCAATTCTAGAGGAAACGTGGACTGCAAGCGTCGCTACTGGAACTGTCCTGGGAATCTTGCTAGCTCTGAGCATTGTAGCATTGGCCTTTGTGTCTTATAATTACTTTCAAGGTATCACGGACAATTCAAATATTTTAAGGTTGAAGTACTTGTATTTCATTTATTTGATTAGTTTTTGACAAGTAGGAAACTTGCTAAAATACTTTAAGAACAAGAAGGGAAAATATTTTTTATTTATACAAAATGGGTTTTTTTTGTAGAGAGAAAAGCCAAGAAAGCAAGGTTCGTAATTTTCAAGTGAGTTTTTTAGTTAACAAATGTTTTCATATAATTTAAATTAAAATTTTGTAATTTTTGGGCACATTAAAACTTAAAACCAGTCTTCCTTTCAGGTCAGGACCATATGATGCAATTGAAAAGGGAAAAACCGAAGACATCAACTTGTATGAAAAATACACGTATCAAAACAGAGAGAATGGAAATCCTGGTATGTAAACTAAATTGAATAATCTCTTAGATTTATTTTTAAACCTTTGAAATATCCAATTAACGTTTTTTTTTCTATTTTTTTAAGATACAGAATGGCCGTCAGAATTATCAATCAATAATTTGTACTCTTCAGAACCTCAACAAAAAGACCAAGTCGTAGAAAGGATTTACGAAAACACAAGTCTAGTTAAGTCCTCGAAAGACAAATTAAAACCAGAGATAAAACCAAAGCCCCAGAAGTTACCGAAACCGATTACTTAATATTTCTCTGTAATATATTTAAAAAAACAATTGCATCTTTTTTTATCCTTACTGTCATGTTTATAATTTTAATATTTTAAGAAATAGATGCTGTGATTGATTGTTGTATATCGTCATTTTTAGCACAGATCATGAGATGAATTTTAAAGACTGAATATAAGTGAATGGTGTTCTGTATATTTATTCACATAGATTATGAAATTTTTTCATAACAAATAATGTAAAATCTGTAATTTACAATTTAATCAATTACTTTTGCAAAGCATTTGTAATTTAACTAGTGCTAATTGTAACGGGGACCGTTACAGATGTTCCCCAAACGCTCCCCAACTCCCTTTTATAATCATATTCCTTGTAATTAAATAAGACAAACTCTATGCATTTGAGACTTTAACAACTTTTACCCAAAAGTGTACCATGTTCATTCAAATTTTATCATTGCACACTTGCGCATGTGAATGCATGTGCGTACTGACCATATCATATTGTCTACACAATCTATATATTTAAATATGCTAAATATTAAAGTATTTAATTCAAAAGTATATAAAAAAACGCTCATTCAAGTGTATTTTTGATTTTACCCATTTCACGTGCACGCACGTGCATACATAAGCATGGTGACCATACCTTCTTGTAGAAGTTCATGTCATCTATCTATGTTCCAAATCCTATCCTGTTTGGTTGAAAACCAAGGGAGTTATAGCTATTTAAAGTTTAAGCAAATCAGATTGCAGCGCACGTGCATGCGCATGTTTTCACGACAACTGTTATATATCATATTGTAGGACATCCTAATGCATGACTATGTTTAAAATTTCAAAGCATTTCGTCAAAAATTAAAAAAAGATATTGCGATTTTTGTTTCAGCCAATCACAGCAAAGCACACGTGCACGCAAGTGCATGTCGACCATACCTCCTTGTAGTAGTCCATTATGTCTGTCTATGTTCAAAATCCCATACTGTTTGGTTGAAAAACAAGGGAGTTATAGTCATTGAAAGTTTAAGCCAATCAGATTGCAGCGCACGTGCATGCGCGCGTTTACATGACAATCGTTATATATCAAATTGTAGGACATACTAAAGTATACGTATATTTTAAATTTCATAGCATTTCGTCAAAAAACAGAAAAGATATTGAGCTTTTTGTTTCAGCCAATCAGAGCGAAGTGCACGTGCATGCGCGTGAGTTCGTGCTAATTTGACAGTGTCACATTATCTACAGTATTAATATATCTTTATATAATGAGTTTCAAATCATTTCATCAAAAAATGTAAAAGTAATAGCTATATTAAGTATATCAGTCAATTCACTCATTTCACGCGCACGCACGTGCATGCGTATGCGCGCAAAATGACCTTCGTTCCGCACACCTACACTACACACCTATTAACCCTAAAAAGGTTTTCGCTTAGTTGGGTGAACAGTTTCTGAGAACACTCGCGGACAAAAAAGTCCGGAGAAGAAATAAGAAGAAAAAAGAATAATAGTAAGAAACAGAGTAAAAACAATATGTTCCCAAACTCCGTTTGGGGAACATAATTAATCACATGTCTCATATCAAGACTTGTTTCATTGAAAAAAAAAATCAAATTACAGTGAAATAGTGATTTATTTAATTAAATAGTTTTAAAGAAATTGACCCATTCCCTGGACTGAATGTCCACTCCTATTCGTAAAATCTATCAAGAGGACTGAAAGAAAGATTAAAACTCTTACTACAGGACAAGACAGACTTCTAGACGTCGATTTGATCGATGTCGAAGGATGTCAGCTATACTGCACGGACTTCAAGCCATCAAACAAGATATGTTTCTTGTTTGAAACAACGGAAGCGAAGGATGAAGTTTCTCAAATGCAAACTCCAAGGTCAAAAGTGTTGGTATCAAGAAGGTCTTTTCATAAGGAATATACCTGTGAAATATAGAAACCCTAGTTCTGCATGTAACTGTTCAAAAGTTATGGCCGAGGTTTAAGTCTTTAGTTCTACTGATCAGAGACCAGAGGGCCTTGTGCGATAGTAAGGTGTCCGTCCGTCTGTCTGGAAAGAATTTTTCAAAATGCTACTCCTCCTTCAGTTTTGGTCGGTTTTCAATATAATTTGGCACTCAAAGACTACACAAAGATACTTAAGAACTGCAAACGATATAATTGTTCTCCCGCCTACCTCAAAGTCAATTTCAACCAGAAGTCTCTGTTGAGACTGTAGCTCTACTGATTTGTACTTATACTAAAGGAAGAGAAAAGTAGCAGTGGGGACTAGAAACTTTACAGAAGCAATAAATAGAATAATGATATGGATTAAGTCTCTTTTTATGGCGAGATTGCAATACTGAGTAAGACTACAACTGTAGGAGTAGATTTTAATAAAAATTTACAGATTTTTCAATTTTAGTTACCATGGCAACATCAATCATCAAAATCAGAAACACAAAACTTGTAATTATATATCTCAGTGTAGTCTACTTGCTTACCAAATTATATATAAATCAGCGTGGTATTTATTTACGCTATGTATGCAGTCACAAATTTTCCGCTGAAATTTGTCCCATCAAATTTAAAATGTTAGGCAAGGAGAGTCTTAAGGTAGGATTCTTCTCTGGTTTCTGACTAGATGAAACATTCAAAGTATATATTGCTTATATTTCTTATATATTGAGGTGTAAGGAATTTAAAAGACCATATTTTTCTTTCCTCATCACAATTGTACAACTTTAAATAGAAATGGTAAACTGCGTTTGAAAACTAGCAGGGACTATATTTTTGGCGGAATGGTGGCGTATGAAAATGTCTTCTTTTCTGCCTCTCAAAATTATAATAGAACAATGAATTTAGTTACAATTTGTACACAATCGAAGACTTGGAGAAATTTTCAAATGTAAGTTAAATTAATAATGAGGGACTAAACTTTCAAAATATATCAAATAAAATATGATTTTCCAAACAAACTAGAACTTTGTTAGCTTTTAAACGCTTCCTATCAAAGTGCAGATTTGAGCCAAAATTCCATAAAAAGTATTTTTTTCTCTCTTAGTAAACGATCAAAACTTTTTTGTTTTTGTATCATTTTGTCCATTTATAAAACTACTTTATTATATGTGAAAATAAGAAAAAGTTAAATATAGGAAGCATATGAAAATAACTAATATATCCTTAAAAAATGAAGAAAAACAGAGAAAATTCGGATTAGCCAATATCCAGTTAAGTTAAATTATTTATGTAAATTTGGTAATATCATGCTATAGACCCGATATAGTAATGTGTTTATGCAAAAAGAACAATCTTTAAACTTTTGAAATAGAAGTAGGTATCACATGATTGGCAACAGTTTTTTTTTTATTCTTAATGTCAAGGAAAAAGATAATGACCTTGACCTGACCTTACCTCTAATATAAAACGGTCAAATTTAATTTCACTGATACTATCACTTACTGATATTGTCTTCTTGATTCTGTGAAAATTTCATTATTTTTTAAATATTAGAAATATGAGAAGAATCCTACCTTAAGATGTCCTTGAAATTTTCTACCAGCGGATTGAATAGAAATAGAGATTCCGCGGAATAATCCTGTTGAAAAAAAAGTATGTCTTCAGTAATCAGATAAACTGCATTTGGAGTACCGTTTTGAAAGTATTTCACAGAAATTTCTATTTTTAGTAACAAGGCAACATCGTTAATCGAAATAAAAAAACCCATATACAGAATTATAAATCTTAATGTAGTCTACTTGTGATAAAAGTTATATTGAAAACAAACCGAAACTGTAGGAGTAGCATTTTAAAAGTATTTCACAGAAATTTCTATTGTTAGTACCCACGGCAACACTCTTCTTCAAATACAGAATTATGTATCTTAGTGTCGTCTACTAGTGTGCAAAGTTATATTGAAATCAGACCAAAATTGTAGGAGGAGTAGCATTTTGAAAGTATTTCACAAAAATTTCAATTTTTTAGTAACCACGGCAACACCGTTCATTGAAATCAAAAACCGATATAAAGACATGTATCTTAGTGTAGTCTACTAATGTGCTTAGTTATACTGAAATCAGACCAAAACTGTAGTAGGAGTAGCATTTTAAATGTATTTCACAGAAATTTCTGGTTTTAGTAACCACGGCAAAACCGCTCATCGAAATCAAAACCCGACAACAGAATCATGTATCTTAGTGTAGTCTACTTGTGTGCCAAGTTATATTGAAATCAGACCAAAACTGTAGGAGGAGTAGCATTTTGTATTCAAATATTTTTTTAATATTTGTATTGATATTTACATGGATTTACATAAAACATTCTTTCTTTGGGAAAACAACGAGAGATAACTCTAAAATTTTGGTAAAACTTGTGTTTTCACTATAGAAATCAACGAAAAACGGAAAATATTTTTAAAACATCTTTCCCCCCGTGAAACAAAAATTTCTTTTTAAGGGTAATATGGACTATCAATTCATAAATTCATATCAAAGCTTTTTGTGTTTCACAGGGGGAGGGCATATGTTTATATACAAAAAAACCCCGAAAAAATGCTTATTTGTGCAGCAATTTCCAAGTGCTTTACAAAGGAAACTTTTTTAACTAATATATATGCTTAATTTTATATGCATAAAACATAAGAAAAGATTTAAGATAATTTTATTTATTCATACTTAAGACTATTTCAGAATATGGTGATGCTTTGTAGCCCGATATCAGAGGAAAGTATCGTCTGGTGTTGATAGAAAAATTTAATGAAGAAATATTTTTAAAATTGTGTGCACCTTATAAATGACAATTTTGACTACATTCCGCATGAAAAAGATACATTTATCAAACTTTTCTTATTTTTGAACTAAAAGTATAGATCAGATGCTTTTTGGGGGTTCACGAGTCTTTTGAAACAGTCTTGGATAGCAAAGCTTCATAAAAAAGAGCCCTTAAAAACAGATCATTTTCATCTTGTTTCAAGAGCTGGAATTAGGGATATTTTACTTTTTAACCCTGGAAGTGAAATAATTAATCAATTACCATTGAACTGTTCTTTCTTTTAAACAAAGATTTTATGGCCAAATTGTCATCAATATTAAATTAAATGGTTGTAAAATGTAGGCGGGAATCGGGAGTTACCGTGCGTAGTTATTTCGTGCATAGGTTTT